AGTTGTTTCACCAAGTCTTCGCACGGGTTCTTGTATGATGAAACTTCCTATAGATGAAAGAATTTTCGATAGAATTCGACTATATAGAGCCTATTCGATAAAAAGAAACAAACAATAAAATCTTGCCTTTTCATTTTTTTTTGACAAGACAAACTTATCGCTATAATATTACTCTAAAAAAAGAATTAAATTCATATCAATAATAAATCGAAACAATACTTCGTAACAACAGTTACATTTCTTAATTATTTACTTAGGCATTCCGTATGACTTTGCTTTTTTTTTCGAATTTGTTCTGAGCTACTTTTCTAATTCATTCACTTTCCATAAGAACCTTAATTGGACAAGTCAAGTCCGCTCAGCTGTTCTCAAATTATGCGAACAATATATTACCTACCGCTCATTATAGCTAAGCCCGGCCACATGAAAGCCTATTATATTACTCCGAAAACGAAATTTCGTGTATGTTCGAGATACCTATACGAGTCATAAGAAACGCATTTTTTTGATACAGCGGCGGAGGTGGGACCTGATGCTGCCTCTGACGGAGAACAGGTTCTTCACGAATATGATTTTAATGAAATTATAAGAACGATTAGAAATTTTCTATTTTTTCGTTCAAATATAAATAGAATAGGCCCCCATGTGTCATGTTAATTCGTACGTGTTATACGTTCGCATTAGCGGAATCGAACCCCACTTATCACAGAAAAGGAGTGCGATTTAGGAGAATGTATTTATATAATACTAGGTTTCCGCCAGTGGCTTCGTCCGCATGTGCCCTATGTAACTGTTTTTTTTTTTCGATTCGTATTAACACACGGATGTAATTAGAATGACAAATTGAACTGTAAACAATAGTTAATAAGGCAACTCCTATTATCGTCCCTTTACTTGATGTTTTATTGGATAAAATATAGCTTATGTTCCCGTAAGTGAAAGAATTTTTAAAATCGGCCCATTAGTTTCGGAGTATAATCGATGCAAACAAACATACAAGCAATCAAAACTTTCCTCTTTATAATATTAGTATAAATATAGATATAGGAATTAGATTAGATCTACACTACTGTATTTTTAAGGACTTCACCTGTAATGCAATCCCATAATGTATTTTTTTTTGTAAATAAAGTTATTATTATATTAATATTATAGATAGTGAAATCGATTACATATTTGAAGAGCATAATAGAAACTTAATTATAATAAACAAAGTCATTTACCATATAATTGACAACACGAACGAGAAAATGCCAAACTAAGGTCACAGTGAGTCCTCGGACTCCTCTATAAACAATATTGCGACATACACGCTTGACTAGTATAAGCCCGCTACACTGTCAGCATGAATAACCCCAACGGATAATTCTACAGGAACCGAGTGTATTTATCTCAATTTCATATTAAACTAGTCATAACACGCGGCATCGCCCGCTTTATCAAAGGGAATACGAAATACCGGCCGCAAATACAGCCGGGACTAAAAGCTTAACATGCTTCCCGAAGCACGCAGGAGATAGATAATAAATATTTGGTCATACATCCTATGATCGTACAGACTTAATGCGCTAATTACTGCACCATTCCGATCCTTATTTATCGTAACAACAAAGGTCACAGCCGACTGCCAAACCCAGACCGGGACGACAGCGGTCGTAAAAAAAACACACTGGGTAATAATAATAGATATTTCTCCTAGGTATACTAATCTATACTAACATTATCAAGGGGAAAGGTTTGATTATTTGTTTGTTTGCATCGAATTGGCTCCGGAAATACTGGACCAATAGGTATGATGACTAATTTTTGTTTGTTTGTCCGTCAGGTAGAATTTAAAAAAATATTAAACACGTATTTTTTTATTTTTTTCGTAACCATAAGATTACGGCGATACATGGAGTTGAAATTTCGCATGACGTCACGTTATGGTACGTTTTCTACTCAACTGTGACGTAGGGAGCCCCCACTCCTCAACTGTAATGCCTGTTATCTAAGCTATTTCTTGTTAAATTGAAGTAAAAAAAAAATACGCGTCTAATATTTTTCTATTATCTGACTGACGGACTAAATAGAATTGCATTTTTTTACCCAGTCGTCATCCCTTTTTTAAAAATTCATTCTCCTATGGTTAGCTACATCATACGGGGTATACTATTACTTATGAGTGCGAAGTTACGGGGCAACAGCTAGTAATATAAAAAAGTGGAATCATTTGATTGCTTGTTTGCATCGTGTGCACTGTGTAGTTTATAAGATCTCCGCGTACAAACAGCGGGAAGCGACTCTATTATATACTATCTATAGATTGATTACTTGAACTGTTTGGAATTTACTTATCATCAAAATAAGTCCATAGAGTTGCGTCACATATGAAAATGCTCAAACACAAGAAATTTCACAGACTATGCATTTCAAAATGTCGGTCAAATATTATTGCGGTCAACAAACTATTATGAACTCTTTTGTTAAAGATATAAAGTCTTACGTTATAAGATCCGTCTGGCAAAGTGAATGTTAATATTTTTAATATATTTAAACATTTATGATATCTCCAAGGTTCATAATCTATGGTAGACAAAAACTTAGGGATTATGAGGACAAAAAAATATTTAAAAACCTCTGAAACGTTTTTTGGTTTCACGATGTCGCCAAAGCGAGGTCTCGGGTTCTTTCCAGGCGAGATCAATGAGGAAAGATAAACTTTAATATTTGTTGTTAGTGGAAGGATGAAGAGGCCGAGGAAGGCCAACACACATGCCTTTCACGAAGTAAGCGATCGCGTGCTGTCAGAAGGTGATATCAGAAAGTGGAGGAGGCGAAAGATGTAAGCATCGCCTATCCCACCAAGTATACGGCGGCGTCAAGATATAGATATATACACATAATATTTGTCTCATATTTGGGTAGCTTGAGTAGCTCGGTGGCGTCGTGGCCCGCGATCGTAGTCGTTAAGAAACTTTCACAAGGGTCGGTCACGGGATGGGTGACCAAAAAATTATTGTCTCGAACTACTCCGTGCTTCGGAAGGCACGTTAAGCCGTTGGTCCCGGCTGCATTTGCAGTCGTTAATACCCTCCAATCCGCATTGGGCCAGCGTGGAGGGTCTTGGCCCATCCTCCTTAACCATCCATAAGGAAGGCCTGAGCCCCAACAGTGGGGACGTAAAAGGGCTGGTAATGATGATGATGAAGAATAACGCTTCTTGTCAAAATTACTCATTAAAAAGTATCTATTATAAAACTATGCACAGCACGAAACCCGTCCTCTTTAATGAGTTTAATGGAATTTTACGAATAAGTGATTGAAATAGTTGTAATCAAATATTAATTATATTCTAATATCATTTCTGTTAACTTGCAATGTCAATTCGCATTCCGTTGCCAAAAGACGGCGTTGTTCTAATTTGATGACTTTTTTCTTGTGTCCGGTGATATATTTCGCGCTAAGGATGTAAGATTAAATCTTCGATTTCTTGTTCCATAATTTAGACTAAAGTATACTGAAACCTGAACATGAATCATAACAATAGATTGATACAAAAACTAATTATAAGTTTAAAAATGTCACTAATTAGTAATAATGAACATTAATTAAGGAAAATAAATGTAAGACATATTCTAACAATCAAATCGGATAACCCTAACCAGGCTTAGATAATATCTTAAAAGTCTACAATGTTTTAATGGTTAAATGTAAAGGCAGCCATTCTTTTGCCTGACGAGACAGCAAGGGATGTGTGCGACTCTCCCCTGCCAGTGACCCTATTCAGTATAAAAGCCGTTCAGTAAACGGTTAACGGGCGGTTGGCGGTTTGCATATTCGAGTATTCCTGTCGGAGGTTTTCCCTGTCTTCCCTGCTAGCATTTCCATAACTTCAACAGATACTGCTTGCGGGGAGGCCTTGCGTTCGCGGTTGTGGGGTCACCAGTCCCCTCATCTCGTATTCTTATGCATCTTAATATAGAACGATACCTCGCAAGTTTGTGCCATGAAGTTCGCAAATGCCGCTGGTGCTACTATGACGACTCGAGGGCCAACCCTGCTCATTTGAGTATGGCATTTCATTAAATATCGTTAGAATATTCGTTAAGTTGTAGCATCCTATGGCTTGAGTCGTAGCTAGAGTGTTAGGCGATCGCACCCCTGATTAACTCGCTAATTGTATTTTTTTCATTCTCTTATGTTATGTTTCTATTGAGTCTTGTTCTCTTATGTTATAAACTTAATAAGTCTTGCTGATTCCAAATATGCATGCAACCTTTCAACTATGTTTTGGGATTTTAAATTAATTTTCTTTCTTAAAAAATATTTAAATCTTAATATACCTTTACGATATGTTCTACAATCTTAATTACATGCAATTAATTCATTCGCTATATTTACATAATACGAGGTATATTACTAATAGTAGCAATTTATGTTAATTAAACTACTAAAATATCAAATAGTCCAATGTCAGAATGCGAAGTTTTCATTTGAATAACAAGTTATGTTATAAAAACGAAAGTTTAATTCGAAAAGCTCTACAATACATGGAATGAAATATATCGATAATCGATAATAGAAAATGAAAAAGTAAAGCGTTAAACGAAATCACATATATGATATATTCAAATATTAAAATTATCTAAAATAAATTATCATATTTTTATATGATACAATTAGGTTTTTTTTTTTAATAAATACATAATTGTATCATCTATTAAATGTTCTCGTTATAAAATATTGTTACTGACAATTAATATTTTGCACTGTAAAAAATCCGTAGGCCGTAGAGAAAATTCAAATGAGAGATTCGCAACGTTTTAGGTTTTCCTTATTAATCGGAGGCTTTAAGACGAATGCAATCGAGACGAGATCACGCAGCCTCCGCATCTCAGATTACTTTCGGTGTTCCACTGCCCCAGATCCCCCACTTGTCGCAGTTCAGTGAAAGCAAATTAGCAAAAAACCAATATAATGAATGACATAATACTTACAATACACAAAACTTTGCTTACCTTCTCATAAATCCTCAAGCGTCACTGGAAAAAAAACAAGACACTCACAGCACCATAGCACTCTTTATTTAAAAAAAAAAGTTTACACTCGAACTGTCAAAAAGCGCGCGCAAACTTTTCTTTTGGCGGTTCGTCGAACGCGTTGCTTCGCCACGGGCTTTAACGCCCGACTGCAATTCTTGCAACTAGCGACGACCATTCACTGCTTTGTACGCTTCAATTAATCATAGGAGAGGAAAATATTATAATCGCAATTTTCAGTTAAATATCTTGTTTAAATACGACACTAATTTACCACATTGATGGTAATTGATGGGGTGTTTTCAAAGACACTTATGAAGGCCCGAGCTTTTAGTTTGATCTTTGCAAATTATTGCGACTAAGTAAAGCAAAAGGTATATTTAATGTAAGAAGTGTATAAAGTATGACGTACAGATTTATCTAATCTTGTGATCTTCGATCATTGTGATACTTAATATTCGACAGCATAGTGGCCAATACTTGTGGATTCATATCTTTGTAATCATTTTGCTATCCCGATCGATGGCAAACCTTTTTAATTTGATAGCTTAGTTTACAACTTAGCGATGTTAATTAGGTGAAACAGAGGTGGCGTACACTCTCTGATCTCGGGTTAAATTCTCGACCGGTCAATGTAGTAAATTAACTTTTTTTTTAAATATTTATATGTATACTAGCTTTTGCCCGCGACTTCGTCCGCGTGGTAAAGTTACTTTGAGCAGAATTTCTAACGAATATTTATTCATTATATCGTATAAAATACCTATTTTATCTCCATAGGGGTGGAATTTATTAAAATCCTTTCTTAGGGGATGCCTACGTCATAGTAGCTTTGTGCATGTAAAGTCTCAGCCCGAACGGTTTAAAATTGACAAAGTTTCATACAAACTTTCATTCCCTATTTTATCCCCATGGGCATAGAATTGATCAAAATCCTTTCTTAGCAGATGCCTACGTCCTAACATCTACCTGCATGCCGAATTTGAGCCCGATCCGTCCAATGGTTTGGGCTGTGCGTTGATAGATCACTATGTCAGTCAGTCACCTTTGAGTTATATATATATAGATAAATAAATAAAAATATTGTGTGCCAAAATCTCATGGAATAAAAACAGTTAGGAGGATAGGATATGATAACTGAGATGTATACGTCAAATATAACTGAGATGTTTAATAAGTAAATAATTCAACAAAAAATTTAAAGCCACACACACCCACACACAATACGCACGCACGCACGCACACACGCACGCACGCACGCACGCATGCACACATGCAGCCACTAACGCCAAATTTTGAAACTACCGATATTGAGATCTATTTTATTTTAGATTACTTTTACTTGTATGTATGTTTGTTTGCCATTATTTCGCATTTATCACAGGCTCATTTGCGACAAGAACGTGACAAAGTAAAAATCTCAATTTGTGATCAAACCGCTCTTGAAAGTTTCAAATTCCTGTAACTTTTTAATTATTTTGTTAAGCCTGTTCAGCTCAATACAACATAACTTCAAGGTTTTCGGTTTTTGGATCAAATTGCATTCAGACCTTTAAGTTAGTTATTAAATTTATTATGATTATTTATTTAAAAAAGGGTCCTCCTTGTTGCGTTATTCTTGTAAAAATAATCCAGTATTGCAGAACAAACAGATATGTACCGATTTTCATGAAAAAAAAATGGATTAAAATCTAAACCTTTACAAGTTATGTCGTATTGTTACGTTTTTATTGATAATCTCTAATATAAAGGCATGGAACATTTTAATAAAGACATGTTACTGTCGTAGAAATCTCTTTATTTTTGTATTCTGCTTTACAAAATGAGAGATATTTTAGCGAAGTTATTGTGTAACTTTCGCTGAAATACAAGTAATAATCAAAGTCAAAGTCAAAATAATCTTTATTCAAATAGACTTCTTAAAAATACTTTTGAATCGTCCAACATTTTTTCCCTACCACTCGTTCAGGATGTTTTGGCTGATAAGAAGAACGAGCAAGAAACCAGCTCTAATAAGAGTAATGACATTTACAAAAACCATGTCATTACCAGATCAATACATTATAAACAGAGATAGAAAAAAAACTATGGTCTTATAATGATAACATAATCATTTAATAATAATGAAAACAAGATAATGAGTTACGAAGTAATCACCTATCCAGTTGCTGGATCACCTCAAGTCCAACCGTTCTTATCTGTTATATAATCGGATACCTTATAATAAGCCTTTTTTAATAAGTATTTTTTCTATAGTAGTTATCTTTTCTGAAGAACAAAAATTGTTTGTATGTCGGCAGCACTTCCCCACAATAGGATTCCGTACGACATTACACTATGAAAGTAACTGAAGTATACTAATCTGGCAGTATCTATGTCAGTTAACCTACGTATTTTCATTACGGCATATGCTGCAGAGCTAAGTCTACTCGACAATTTATCAATATATGGGCCCCACTGTAGTTTAAAATCTAATTTTATTCCTTAAAAACCGTGGTATCCACAATTTATATCTACTTTTTTAACATTAGGTAGTACAAATATTAGGCATTTTGTTTTTCCTTCATTAAGAAGAAGATTATTTACATTAAACCAATGTACTACTTTAGCGATAGAATTGTTCACATTGGGTGTTAGGGGAACGCTTCCGAAAACGAAAACCAGTGATAGAGTAAGTGATTCTGGATACATTGCAATGAAAAAATTATTATTTTATTTTTCAAAAAAAATATGTTATTTTATTTTTTTTCATTTTTAGCGATGTAAAATAAGTTAAGTATTACTATTTTAATCAATAAATTTGTCTATTTATTGATTTTCCATAAAAACGCAATGTAATTAAAACTCGAAAAAATCATCAGATCGGCGGTAGACGACCCCGAGAGTTCAATAACCTTTGGTACGTTCAAAGGACACTTTCATTCTCTTTCCTTCACCACTGGTAGAATGAAAAGAGACAGAAGATACGAGTGAGAAACTTCAGCGACATCTAGCGACGAAAAGCTCTTAGTTCTCTACGTTGCTAGTTTAGGTACCCATTTTTCTGTGTTTTATTAAGAAAATGCAATGAAAACGCAATTACTAAAAGTAGTTTTAAAACGGCGTTTTGTTATTTTTTCAAATTGTTATTTATTGATGATCATTCCCTTTCACGCAATAACAATAAGTAAAAACGAGAGCGAAGATACTGCAGGCCAAGCTCGTAAACTTCTAGATACATCTAGCGGCAAATCGCGGCGGTTTTGATGATATAGCGAATGAGAATGATAGATGCAGCGCCATCTAGTAGTGTAAAGCAAAATCAATCGGTAGTGTTTCCGTGTTAAGGGGTGCCACTTTTTAATGAGTAAATATCGTTTTTGAATAACCTACTAGATAAAAAACATTTGTGAAACTTCTGGAAAACATTTGTTTCGACTAAATATTTCAAAACGGTTTAGTAACTCTAGTATTTACAAAATTTTTATCTTTGTAAATTTTTAAAAATAAAACTTACATTACATGATTTTGATAAGTGCACTTTTTTATTTACTTGTCTTTAAAATGTGAGCTTTATTTTAATGAGTTTTTTTTACGTTAGCGCAGAAAATTTTAAGACAAAAATCATTTGATTTTATTCAGAGCATGTAACTAATAACGATATCTTTTAACTCGCATAGTAATTTATTTAGGTTTTATAAAACACAAAAAGATCAGATAAATACATTTCATTAAAATGAGGGGAAGGTGTTAAATCATTTTTATTTCATCAAAATCTAAATGTATAAGAAACTTCATTTCTCCAGAAGTGTGTGTGTGTGTGTGTGTGTGAAATCATTAAAAAAGTAAACTTTATGAAAAACTATTGGGAGTCCCAATTGAATTTTTTCCCGATTCAATTTTAGCATAATTATTTCTCTTGTTTCAATTTGAAAACTATAAAAAAGCGGAATAGTTGTTTCTCTTAATAAATACTTACTTTGCATGACTAACCCAATAGTATAATCCTATCGGGTTATTCATGATTAAACGCGATGTTGAATTGTAAAACTTCACTTAGTACTTTTACGACAAACTTTATTTATAAATCTAAACACATAATTAATTACTATTAAAGTTGCTAAGTGAAATGAGTGGCAGCCCTAGATATCATTGCGAACCGCAGTGACCGGTGAGTGTGTTTATAAAAGATGCCGCTTCACTTTTCCGGTCCGTCCGCTTCCGGTTTCTGAGACATGCTGCCGCTACACGTGCTGCCAGCTCTAATTTTTTCCCTTAGTTGGGTAATTTTTTTACGGGATAAATCCCATAAAAATTGTATGATATTAAAGAAAGGTAAGCTATCTTTTAAATATCTATCTATCTTTTTAATATTTTTGATTACATGGTATTATTACATTTTTTTTTTAAATTGAAGTTGATGTTATTGAAATAACATTAATCACTTTTAAAAATTTATTCGTATAACAATAAGTTAAGAGCGTCGCAAATAAGGTTGGTTAAGTTACGTTAGCCAATGTTCCTGCCAATCGGTTAACAAAAACGGTACCCGGATAATAATTTCTCTGTCTTACTTTTATTTATTAGGATACGGTGAAAACAATTATTAATGATGCACAACATTCTTTCAAACATTTTACTTATTTTGTCATAAAAATAATTTAGTATAGCGTACACTTTCAGACAATTTTCATTTGGTTTATTTCGGTATTATTAAAAATTACTTACGATATCAGTTCTTGTAATAATTCACAATGTTAAAACATAAATTTGATCGAACACGTAATGCACAATCCATTCAATTGCAGATTTCATTTCTAAAACAATTTTGGGAATTTGGTGAAAAAAGTTGCAACACTCGAATATTCAGTAGGAAGAACTGAAGAACGAATGATCGCGGCTTCTTTGATATGAGCGAGGCATGAGGCCGACCAGTGGCAAAAAACTTTCCATCTCGGTTTGCGAATGCGTATTTTAAAGTTTATTTCGTTAAATTAGTTATCATAGTTTTTAGTTGAGCGTGTTAGGTTTATTTATTTAGTGTTTATTTTAAGTTTTATTAGACAATAAGTGCATCTCATCATGCCTAATGCGTATGTGTACAGTGCTCGTGAGTATGGGAACATGGTTATGTGTTTAGGAGAAGCACGTGGCAATGCTTCTCTAGCTTTGAGAATTTACCGGGAAAGATTTCCTAATGTGCATCATCCAGGAGACTCTCGAACCATTACTGCTGCGTTTCAACGACTGTTGGAGAATCAACCGATCGTTCCGGTGGCGGTCGGCGGTGGGCGACCAATAGACATTGCAGCCGAGGAGCGTATTCTCGATGTGATCCAACGCAACCCCCGTTTGGGCACGAGGACTGCTGCGAAGTTACTGCAGCGGCCAAATGGGCCCTCAGTTTCGCATTGGACGGTGTACAAAGTTTTGCGAAGAAACAGAATGCGGCCTTACAAAATTC